TGGCTCGTTTAGTTTACACTCGAAGTGGATTGGTCTCTCTAAGCGAGATCCCAATTCGTCGGTCATCCGACGTGACGTCTCCGTTCCCTCCTTCAGGGAACGAGGGTTACATACGTAACCGAGACGTTTTCCTTTGCTGTAAACAAAACTTGGTTCTCACGAGACTAGCATATTCTTATCGGAGTTTACGCTACGCCTACGTGCTATGTCATCCGCTGGATGCCACTCTCTCGTGAACGTGCGTACGACAGTTAGCGGAAGCTAGAGATTAAGGTTTACTAAGTTGTAAATATGGATATTTTTACTTTGCACATATTATTACTGCTGAATTAATTTCACAACGCTGTTTATCATGGCCATGTAAATTATGCTTTAAAGCTAAAACTTGGACTTCATACTAGAGTTAATGATCCAATATTACAAATTTTAAAGAGCTTTTACTGCACCAGGATATTTAAATGACGTTTTAAATTCGCACAGCCATATAAATGACTTGGCTAATGGTTAAAAAAAAAATTGGTACTACAGTAAAATGTCCATAATGTGGTGATATAAAGTCCTTATTAGCTTTAACGCATCCTCTAGTAGCCAAGAAAGGGAGTAGGAGCATTTCCGTTGTGTTGCGGCTTGTTTCTGTTGTGTTGTGTCGATTTTGTTGCGTTGCAACTTGTATCCATTGTGTTGTGGAGATTTCGTTGTGTTGTGCACTACTGGGTCATCGTATTTTTCCCTTAAATTGATAGTTCACCCTAAAATGAAAATTACCCCATGATTTACTCACCCTCAAGCCATCCTAGGTGTATATGACATTTTTCTTTCAGACAAATACAATCGGAGTTATATTAAATAATGCTTTATAATGGGAGTGGATGGTAGCCCAAAATTTGAAGTCCAAAAAATTGCACCCATCCATTATAAAAGAAGTTCACACGGCTCCGGGGGGTTAATAAAGGCCTTCTGAAGCGAAGCGATGTGTTTGTGTAAGAAAAATATCCATATTTACAACTTTATAAACCTTAATCTCTAGCTTCCGCTAACTGCCGTACTCGCGTTCACAAGAGAGTGGCGTCCAGCGGATGACGTAGGGCGTAGGCAAACGCGGTGACGAACGCGGAAGTGACAAGCGTGGAAGTGCAGAGGAGAGAGCAAAACAAAACACTGGTCATGAATTAGTAGTACA